TTATTGACCAAAATATAAAATATTACTGAATATATGAGAATAAAGAAGTATTTGATTAAATATTTAATTATGATATTTAAATTAATATATCTATTCTAATTACTCATAGTGGATACGTGAAAATATATTTTGTAATTAATATAAGACTAAATTGCACAAAATCTACATGTGATTTCATAAAATTGCACCAAATTTCTTATACTTCTAAAATTGCGTTAAACTCCCTAGTGGTTTTATAAACTTCGCGTCTAACCCCCGGCGGTCTTTATTTAACTATTTGACCTAAATGCGCTCAAACTGCGAATAAATTTTAGAATCTCAATTTTTAAACCCCTAAAATTGCAAATATATTTATTTTTTTTTATATTTAGCCTCAAAAAATAGTAAATATACTAAAAAATAGTTATTTTTCTCAAGTTTTAAGAATTTGTTTTTACTTTTTTTTTTAGGCTAAATATAAGGAAAATAAATATATTTATAATTTTAGGGGTTTAGAAATTGAGATTCTAAAATTTACTCGCAATTTGAGCGCATTTAGGTCAAATATTGTTAAATAAGGACCGCCGAGGGGGTCAGACGCAAAGTTTATGAAACCACGAAGGAATTTGACGCAGTTTTAGAAGTACGAGGAATTTTGCACAATTTCGTGAAACGACCGGTGAATTTTGTGCAATTTAGCCTTAATACAATTCGTAAAATCTAAATATATTATAACTATAAATAATAAATTGTTCATCTTTTGTTTGAATCACATGAGCAGTTAAGATTGATAATGCAAATAAATAAATTTTACATGACAAAATTACGATTAAATGATAATACGATGTATGTACATATAATAAAGGCCTATTATTCAGTAAGTGGGACATTTTTATTTTTTATTTTAATTATAATTTTTACATTAGTTTATTTAATTATTATACTGGAATATTCACCTATGTCTTCAATATGTACAAAATTTTAATTATGTATTAAATTATCTCTTGTATCATTCAAATTTATATTTATTTATTTTTTTTAAATTATCATAAAAATATATTTTTATTTTTTTTAATTAAAAGGTACTTTTAGCTTCCCAATGAAAAATATCTATTTTTAAAAAAATATGTTATTGATTATTTGAAAATGTATATAATTATTTTGATATTTTTTGATAATTATGAATATTTTAGCATTTGTATATTGATTGTTTTTACTATAATAATAAATATATATCTTTGAATAAGACGAAATAAAATGGTAAAAAATATATTTTTTCCGTCTCAGATATTTTGGGCTTATTACCGTAGATTCGAGTATTTAGGTAAAGTATAATTAATAGATAATTAAAAAGTGTATTAGTAAAAATAATTATAAATTAATATTAAGATAAGTAAACAGTTTAATTAAAATTAAAAAAATTATAAAATTTAAAATGTGACTAAGCGCATAATTATATTTTCAAAAATAGAAATGACAAATTATGTGAGACGAACAAAAATAAAAAATATAGATAAATTATATGGGACGGAGGGAGCGGTAAATTGAATCAAATGGAATATATTGTTTCTTATTATAAAAGACCAAAGAATAATAATATTTATTTATTTTTATTAAAATTTATACGTAAATTTTTTTAATTACAGATTTGAGCGATGAATATAGGAGTACATTAGAACATGCAATGGGATCTTCTTAAATAAAATAATAATTAATTTTATTTAATTTGTTGGCGTGACCCACAATAAGAATTTATTTATTTATTTATTTTTAATGTGGGAAGATGCAATAAGACTTTTAATTGGAGGTGAGTATTCGGATTTTTGGTTTGGATTTTGCTAAATTCGAATCGATTTGAAAATTCAAAATTTTTGAAAAAATCAATTCGAACTGAACCGAAATAACCGAAATCCGAAATCCGTAATCCGAACTAAAAAATCCGAACCAGACCGAAAAATCCGAAATTCTAAATATTTTTATTACTATTTTTAAAATTTTTAAAATTCTTTTATATTTTATTATTATTTTATAATATTAAATATATAATGTATAAAAATTAAATATATTAATATATAATTGATAAATTTGAGTTTTTTATATTAAAATATAATATTTTTAATAAAATATTAAATATGTATAATAAAAAAAAATATTAAAATGTTATATTTCGGATTTCGGATTGGTTCGAATTTTAAGTATACCGATCCGATTCGATCCGAAAATCCAAAATTTGTTAAAAATTCAATCCGATCCAATCCGAAAAATCCGAACCAAATTTTAAATTTTAGTTTGATTCGGATTGAATTTTCGAATTTCAAATATTTTGCTCACCCTCTACTTTTAATTGCCTCAAATTTGTGATATCAGATTATGAACCATTAGTCAGTACTAATTAATTAATTAATATTAAAGTAAAAGTACTGTAAGTCTTACTCGTGAATATTCAATAACGGCATTAGTTAATTGTTATGTTTATTATTTTATTTTTTTTTTAAAAAAAGAAGAACATTCTTTGTTATAAATCTCAATAATTCTCTGACATTTCAAATAAATGTTCCACACGACTTTATTATTGCATCCAACGAATTTAAAATGTACAACATTTCTTACACATTTCAATTTTGACCTGACCATTTTTTATATTTACTGTTTAGTAGTAGGAAGTGGACCATGATGGACCATTTTTCTTTAATTTTGGTATAATATTTTTAATTTATTATATATTCGATAATATATTTACTATTTTATTATTACTTTTTGTAACAATTTCTTGAAACACCGTAAATTTAAAATAATAACAAAAAATTGTGACAAATAGCTATTTGAATTGATTAAATTAAAAGTAATTTAATTAGTTTAATAATTTAAGGGACTACTACACTTATTTATATTATTTTAATGTATATTAATGATGTCGGATGCATTCCTCTGATATTATTACTCCCTCCGTCTCGTCTCAGATACGGTGGCTACACCGTAGAACAGTGTATTTTAGGAGGGGTATAATTAGTAGATAATTAACAATGTATTAGTGAAAATAATTATCTTATAATATAAATAATTATAAATTAAGATAACTAATTAGTTTAATTAAAATAAAAAAAATAAAATTAAAAAATTTAAAATGAGATTAAAGTGTGTAATTATTTTCCAAAAAAGAAAATGACATGGTATGTGGGACGGACAGAAAACGGCAATGTAGACATGGTATCTGGAACGGAGAGAGTATTATTTTTTATGTTTCTTAATTAATATTAAAAAAATACACAATATACTGTGTATATTCATTCACGAATAATAAAAAAATTAGGTATAAAATATTTTTTTTATTATCAAATATCCTCAAAATCAAAACATAGAACAAACACAATGGAAATTATGAATATATTTATTTTGTATTTTTGGATAAATATTTTTTTATACTTCGTTAGATATATGAATTGTTATAAATTATATACTTCCTTCTTCCGTCCGCAAGAGATACATTTATATTTTGCATCATTGTACCTAATATTAAAAATATTGTTATATTTGTATAATATTTTTTTTTTACAAATCTCATTCTATTAGTATTTTATGACACTAATGAAAGCATTTTTATAATTTTTTTTTTAATTTCTAATACGTTTTGATATAATAATTAACATTTAAAAATCAACACACAAAAAATAAATAAGATCCTTATAATCGGACGAAGATAATATATTGTATTTTTTATAATATTAATGAGAATCAAACCAACAAAAAATAAATTGAGCTAACAAATTCTATCCATTCAAATGATACTCCCACCGTCCCACATTGCATGTATTGTAAATACGAAAATTTAGGATAAATATAATTATAGTGCGTTTGTTTGGAGGTTTGGATTTGAATAGTAAAAATTTTGAATTAAAATAGTTGTATGATGTGATATAAATAAGCGTTGATTTGATGTTTTGAATATAAAGTTAATTTTTAGAATAATATAAAAAATAAAAAATAGGTATTTGATTTAATTTTTTGGAGGAAACTTTTTGGATGAATAGTGAATTTTTTTTAAAATCCCTCATAAGTGAAATAACTATCTTATAATATAAATAATTATAAATTAATATAACTAATTAGTTTAATTAAAATTTAAAAATAATTAAAAATTTTACAATGAGATTTAAAATATGTAATCATTTTTAAAAAAAAATTAAATAAGATATGGGACAAACAAAAACGACAATGTGAACACGAGATACAGACTGAAGAAGTAAATTATTGTTAAATTAAAAATTATAATTAAAAAAAAAAATTGCACGGAAAGTGGGGCCTACTGACATCGTGACGGTGCCGTATGGCCGTATTTATAGTGCACGTGCAATTGACTGGAAACCGGAGACCGGAGGCACTTTCATTGGCTAAACTCCAAACAAACGGTTCAGAGCCTTTAAAGCCATATCCTTCTTCCCGGCTAAACCGGTTACCAGGTAAGCTCTCCTCTCGAACCCTCTTCAATTATTTGGGTCTAAAAGGTGCAAAAATAATTCATTCCATTTCCATCCAAATGAATAATATAATCCTCCATTTTGTCATTTGTATTTGTCTTACGTAAATGGTAAATCTATATGGTCACTACAGCTCATTTATTTTTAAAGTGAAAAATTACAAATTCATGGTAACAAGGGATTTGAACTTTCAATTTAAAATCAATTGATGATAGATGAAGTAGTCTTTTTAGTATTAACGTATTACAATATTTAATACCGAATGAAAAAATAAATTTATTTATTTATAATAATAATAACAAAATTCAAAGGCAGAAAAAATAAAAAATAAAAAAAAAAGATCCCTTTCCATCACAATTCCTTGTGTAGACTTTCCTTTAGATCGACAACGACGACACCAAATTCTTGCTCAGAATAAGATGTCGCCACGTGTAGGGCAGTGATTGGGCAAAATAATTAATGACATAGAGCATGCAATTTGGATATGTATAAAAAGGAGACCAAACCCCATCCTAAAATATTCCCAATTCATTCCATCTATATATCCTCAAATTAAATTCTTCTTACTGTATATACATACTGTCCCCCAAATTAAACCAAACAATATATACTATTATTATTATTATTATTATTATTATTATCATTATATATATATATATACCGATGGAGAAGATTAAGGGACAAGGTGATGAATCAAGATTCAAGAGGATATGTGTGTTCTGTGGGAGCAGCCCTGGGAAGAACCCTAGCTATCAGATGGCAGCTATACACCTCGGACACCACCTCGTACGTCGTCAATTTCATAATTAATTCATTAATGTATTTAATTATTCTAATATACACACATATATATATATATATAATTAATTGTTTTTCAATTGAAATTTAATTTAATTGAATTAATGGTGCAGGTAGAGAGGAATATAGACTTGGTTTATGGAGGTGGTAGCATTGGCTTGATGGGCCTCGTCTCCCAAGCTGTCTACAACGGCGGCCGCCACGTCTTAGGGTAGCTAGGCTAATTAATTACTATATTAATTACATTATTAATCAATCTCATTAATTCTTATATAGTAGTATTAATTAATCTTGAATGTTGGTGCAGAGTGATTCCCACAACTTTAATGCCCCCAGAGGTACGTACGTACGTACGTACGGTTCGATTCATACATCTACCTGCATTAATTAATTAATTAATACGTATGAGAGTAATTGATTAATGAAGGGAGGGCAAATGTGTAATTTCAGATAACCGGCGATCCGGTCGGAGAAGTGAGGGCGGTTGCCGGTATGCACCAGCGTAAGGCTGAAATGGCCCGACACGCAGATGCTTTCATTGCTCTGCCTGGTAATAATAATAATAATAATAATAATAATAATTAATAATAATAGTTGTCCTAGCTAGCTAAGAACAATTGCATGCGAACAGGTGGGTATGGCACGTTGGAGGAGTTGCTGGAAGTTATCACGTGGGCTCAACTAGGGATCCATCATAAACCGGTAATTATTATTATTATTATTATTATTATTATTATTATTATTATTATTTAAATCCTATATATAATTAATTATTTAATTAATTATAGGTGGGTTTGCTGAATGTGGATGGTTACTACAACTCACTCCTGTCCTTCATAGACAAGGCTGTCGACGAAGGCTTCATTACACCATCTGCCCGCCACATCATCGTCTCTGCCCAAACTGCCCAGGAACTAGTCTCGAAGCTTGAGGTACAACTCCTTCCAGCCCCTGTCAGATTCTCGACACGTGTCCCCTCCCTAACCAATTGCTCTTAATTTGGTGCAGGATTACGTCCCGATACAGAATGAGTCTGCAACGAAGCTGAGTTGGGAGAAGGAGCAGCAGCAGCAGCTTGGATTTATTACAAAGTCGGAAATTGGTCGTTGAAAACCGCAGTTTCCGTACGAGTCAACAATGTACGTACGTACAGAACATGTATCACAGACAGGAAATATGTACAAACATCTATATCTATATGTACACAATTATATATATATATATATTTGTAGCCATTGGATTCTTTTCATCTGATTTTATTTATACACCACAAAAAAAATAATATATTTGTAACGGAATTCCGTCCCTAACGTTCATGTAGCTAACGTAATTCCGTTCGTAATTCCGTCTCTAATGTCATTAGTAACGGAAAAAGTAGATTTAGAGACAAAAAAATTTTGTTACAAAAATAATTTTTTTTGTAGTAATAAACTGTAATTCACTTTGGGTTAATAGAGTTTTTATTTTCTTTCAACTATATACTTCTTCTATCATTTAAATTTATATTCATTTTTATAATAAAAAAATATTTTCTCCTTTCCCTCTCAAATTTTTTTTTTTTTTTTGATAAAATCAGCACACTAACATCAAGGAATCAACATTCAATTTCACAAGGTATACAACATAATATTGTATCGTGTAGAAGTAAGTAAACAATATATTATTATGTACTGTTAGAATATATGTTTTATATTAAATTGTTATGTATTATTATTTATGTGTTGTCTGTCTTTTATATTGTACTATAATTGAGTCAAATTAATATTATTTTCGAGGAGTCTGGCATAAGAAAGCTAACATGACAATAGATTTCTAGTTAAAGGTAACTTGTCTCGTTTTATTTAAATTTGAATTTTTATAAGACATGAATAGTTTTGAAAGAATTGAGAACAAAGTGGCGAACAAACACATAAGGCGTGAACAAAGCTCTTTCATCGAGTGTCCGATCATGACAAGACTCGAGGAATAAGCCCGGCTAACTTATGAGGGTGAAAATACTAAACTCAAATAAATCTGTCCTTTGCCGACAAATTGCAAAAGCACCCCCAGCCTTTCAACATCAGGGAGTTTGCCTCCTTTACCCCAAAGTCCCTAAAAAGTGTGTTTCTTATAAAATTGACCAAGAAAATCGATGGTGCACATGCACTTAACACCACAAAATAAAGAGAATGGTTTGACTTCATTACAGGGGTATGTTGTTAATAATAGTAGTAGTAAGTGGGGTTTGACTTTTTTTTTTTTTTTATTGGAAAATAATTGAGACCATGATGATGGGCAAAATGCAAACATATATGCTTATATGGGTTGTCTTACAGTACGTGTGTAACACACCAAAAAAAAAAAAAAAAGATACATTTTTAAATAATGTATGTTTTACTATTTGAAATTATATGATGTTAGTTCATATTTTGCTTATTGAGTATACTCTAGTGGCATGTATCTTGTGATGAGATGAATGATAGTATATATTGTTTGTACTATTGTAATATTTTGTTAGTTTATATAATGTATTAATATAAATTATTATATCATTGATGTATATTTTATGTATTATCCGTCAATATTTAAAGTATTCAACACTATATTGAAGTGAAGCGTATATATATAATATTACCTATGTCTATTTATAAAGTTTATATCTGTTTTTTTGCATATTAATTTTTAAATATTAATTATTATATCAAAACATAGTATAAATGAAAGAAAAATGACAAAAATATTTTTATTAATGTCTTATAATACAAATATAATGACATTTGTATAAAAAAAATATACAAGTATAAAAATATTTTTATTGGTAAGTATAATAACGCAAAAGTTAAATATAAATTTATTAAGTTGACGGATGGAACAAGAGTATATATATATATATATTCTTCATAATTAATACTCCCTCCGTCCCGGTGTAATGTTGTCGTTTACTTTTTGTACGTAGATTTTTTAATATTATTATTATAATGGGTTGTAGTGAAAAGGACGAAAATGCCCTTATTAGTATTGTGTAATATATAGTATTGTGTAATATAAAAGTAACAACATTTATGTAATATAGTGTAAATTGAAAAGGTATTTATTATGTTAGGTAGGTAGTACAAATACTAAATTAGGAAATAATAACCTTGTTTTGGGACGAACGAAAATAAAAAAATGACAACTTTTCGATGAGACAGAGTAATTATTATTTGTTTGAAAATTTGTGTGGAATAAGTAAACAAGACATGGTTAGTCTTATCCAACACATTAAGAATAATTGGTCCATAGAAGTCCATGTCTAAAAGTGGGTGCACCAAAAAAGGCCCACTCATGCTTAAAATCAGCACCACAATTAGACTTTTTTCACTCTTCGGTGATAAGAATGTTGTCACAATCTGAAATATAAATATTTATTTGATATAATATAAATAACAATAATATAAAGTTCTGAAACATATTCTTAAATAAGTTTAGTTAAGGTGTTGAATTTTTTAAATTCAATATCATCTTTATACTTTAAAATTTAGTACTTTTAGTTTCTGTAATTAAATAATATATTATTTTCAAAGCATAAATAGAGTGCTAAATAAATGAAAGTAAAACATATATACAATTATTTTATAAATAAAATTAAAGAATAAAAATATTAATTTTTTTATATATTTATATTAATTAATAAAATAATATTAATTTTCAATTTATTTTAAAACTCTAAATACCCTTTAATTTGAGAGGGAGGAAGTATTTAAATAAAAAAAAATTAAGAAAAAGAAAAATCCACCGAAAACCCCCAAAAGAGACAGACTAGACGTTTCAATTCATGGTTGCGGTGGAATAAGAGATCCCCGAGTTTTGTTAGCAAGACCGGGACCTTTGATCCTGGCCCGATATAAAATATGCAGGCTTAATTGTTGTTGATTTAATGGGCCAGGTGGCCCATTTATTGTGAAAGGCCCATAATTAAAGCCCAGTGACTAAACCCTCGTCGCTGAAGCAAAAAATGATATCTAAATGCATTCATTTACCCTGATTTCTTCCCTATTTTGCCCATAAATATTACCTGCTCTAAAGCTAAACCTAGCGTCGTCGATTTTCGGCTGGGGGTCCTCTGTGTCCGGATTTCAGTGTTCGCCGGGCTCTTTTGGATGAGGTACGTGTTTGCCCGTTCATTTTTACCTATTTAATCCGTGTAATTTATAATTTTGTTTGTGATTGAAGCGCGAAAGTTGGTGTGTGATTGATTTGAAATTTTACGTTTGATGATTGATTTCGATTCTGCGGATTTAGTTAGAAACCTTCCGCGCGTTTGATTTAGGGTTAAGGTCCAATGCAAGTGTGATCGCCGCCCTTCTCTGCGCTTTTAGTGAAATCTGTGTATGAAAATGGAAAGTCTCAGCATCGGCAGTCAATCGCTGTAGAAATTTCGTTTTGGTGTTATATAACAGTTTACTGATTTCGTAGAAAATACAGCAGATAATTCATGTTGATTCATGTAGATCAATTTGTCCTGATTGAGCAGTAGAACCATTTCAATTCGGATTAATTGTTCATAATATGATATGTAGGTTTGTGATAGAATATGAAAAAGTGGTTCTACTTTTTGTTAATGCATTTCTATTGAGGATCAGTGTCGAAAAATTAATGTGTGAAGGCAATTGATGAATGTATGCTTTGAGTAGGTTGTAATTAATGTGATGTGGCAAATGCTTGGCCGGGAGCAGAGCCAACGCCTAAATTACGAATGCAACTTTTGGGGCGATGATCAGCCCGTGGTAAGTTTAGCCTCATTGATTGATTTAACTCTGCAACGTGTAATTCCTGCATCGTTTTAAATGGAAATTCTTAAATGGAAATTACATGTGAATTGAAAGGAAATACTTTTGGTTGATGATTAAACAGATGGACAGCGAAAGCAATGATCAGCAAGCTAAGCAAGATCGTCTGAGGACAAAATGGATGCCTGCGCTAGATAAGATCTTTGCCGACATAGTTGTGGATCACATTGTCCAGGGGAACAGGCAAAACAATGCATTCGATAAGAAGACATGGAACCAGATCCGGGAGGAATTTAATCGACAGACAAATCTCAACTTCAACAACAACCAATTGAGGAAACATCTTGATGTTCTTCGCACGCGCTACCACCATCTGCAATCATCTTATAATCAAAACGAACCTATTCAAGATCCTTCTTGCTACATGGGATTCGACCTTTGGGAAGATATTGGGGTACAATTCTTTTTGCCATTTCGTCATTTATCCATTAATATGTTCGAATCATTGACTATTAACATTATTACAGGCACAATCCAAGAATGATCCGGCAAAGGGAAAAGAGTGTCCAATTTACCAACAATTATGCACAATATTCGCATCAGACGCCGGTGCGGATGGAAAATACGCCCAATCCAGCCACTACGGAGAATTATACAAATCTCCCGGAATTACAGGCATCGGCCCTTCAACCACAGCAGATGGCGCAAGCCCACTTCCCGAAACCCCGTCAACATCAAAGCTACCCGATGGCAACATATTTTCGCCCCGTAGCACCGGCAAGAACATGATCGATAAAAAAAGGAAGCGCCCTTTGGAAGCAAGCCCCGAACAGGGTAATAATTGGGATCAAGAAATAGGCGCCCCCATGGTCGAAGCTATGTTAGACATGATCAATTCTTCGAAGTTGAAAGGCCTTACGAATTCTATGTTCGATGAAAGATTCTCGATCAGCAACTGCATAAAGGCGCTGGATGAGATCCCGGGCATCGAAGACAACGTTTACTACGCTGCATTGGACATGTTCGAGGCTCCAAGTTTCCGGGAGACGTTCATTTCTCTCAACGGTAATCAAGTAAGGCAAATGTGGTTGCAGGGTAAATGTCGCGGCCGTGGCCTGTTCATAAATTGACCGATCGTTCTTACATGTTTTACCCGGCCGGAACTGAATTTTCGGAATCGCCGTTCTGGCGGCTGAGACTTGTCTGGTAAATGTAAAAATTTTATGGGTTTTTGGGAGGATTTTTAGAGCATGGTTTGGGAAGGATATGAATGAAAAGTAGAAATGATCGAACAGTCTTCGTCTTGGTCGAAATAAGTAGATAACAGAAAATCTTTAGAATTTGTTTGCTTGTGTTTTTGCATAGGATTTTTTTACAGTGACAATGAAAATTAAATGCTGTAAAAAATTTTCACAGAAATATATTCACATGTTTAAATTGGTTTGGATATATTGTAATAGTTATAAATATAAATTATTAAGTAATGATAACAAGAAGTCGATATGTCCGAGTGGTTAAGGAGACAGACTTGAAATCTGTTGGGCTTCGCCCGCGCAGGTTCGATCCCTGCTGTCGACGTTTTAATTTATAGCTTTTTATTTATAGTCACCCGTAATTGTGTTTAACATTAAAAATATCTTTATATGTATAATTTTTTTTTTTAATACAAATGTTATTTTTTTGAATTTCTACTATATTTTTATATAATAATTTAAAAATAAATATGAATGGTTTTGACATGACAAGATCAAAATTTGAAAATGAAATTAATTGAAGTTGTTGTCACCATAGCAACTAGTGATATTATAACAACAAAATAAAAGGCTATATGATTCTGATTCTGGTCTTCTCCTTTCTTCCTTTTGAGTCATCAGTCAGTCATCATCCTTGAATTCTCTGCTCATAACAATTACATTACAAAGAGATTTTTAATATCTTGAAATTAAAAAACTACTGGCTTTAAGATTTCTAATATATATTATATTCTCTCCATAAAATCAACATTCAATTCAAAATATTATAACGAATAAACCCATTAAAAAGATTTAGTAACATTGATTACCTGCGGTCGAGGTAGCGAGGCTGAATACCGGTGCCCTGGCACGTCGTGCAGACGAGGGAACCGGCTCCATCGCAGTTGATGCACCGGGACACTTCTTTCTCGCCACCCCCGAGCTCTGCAGTCACCGAACCCGATCCAAAGCATAATCTGCATTTCTCTGAAACAAAGTCCATTGTGTCCCATAAACCCATCAAACTTTTAACTTTTCGACACCACATACAACAGGCTATAATAGAAGCTCGAATTTGGCGATACACCAAGAACTAGACTGTAGTAAAATGAGCTCTGCATATATATAGAGTGGCGGTTACTGTTACGAGATATAAAATTTAATAGACAACACATAATATAGAGACAGACAACTCACGATAATAAGAAAACAACACATTAGTCGTGTGGATATAATGCAAATACAGCAAATGAACGGACTGCATACTATATTGAGACAGACAATCTAAACACATGAATTAAGTTAACATGATATACAACACATATCTGATATAGTCTCATACAACATATACACTTGGGGTGTGTTTGTTTGGGGGTTTGGATTTTGAGTTGGGATTTGAATAGTAAAAATTTTGAATTTGAATAGTTGTATGATGTGATATAAATAGGTGTTGATGTGATGTTTTGAATGTAAAATTGATTTTTAGTATAATATAAAAAATAAAAAATAGGTGTTTGATTTGATATTTTTGGGGGGAAAAAATTGGATGAATAGTAGAAATCTTATTAAATCCCCCAAACAAACACACCCTTGATAAATTGATTTCAACATAAGAATTATATCAATACGGCACACCTATATATATATTTATTTATTTAACACCGCATATATTGTAGTACTAAATAAAAGTTCGGCTATGTTCTTTCACTTATTTTTTCCTATTACACATGCATTATTTTTATATTCCCTACACAATTAGCTGGATCTCACGTAAAATAAAATAAAAAAAAAAATTCCAACAATCTCCCGAAACAAACACACCTTAATTGTTCCATAACCATTGCGATGTGTGTATATATCAATCAAACAACAGCATTGCATCAAGAAATCTCCCAACGATATGTGGATGTTATAAAAGCCCTAATTTGTGCAAAAATCAAGAACCCTAAATTTATCAACAAACTTGATTATATATTGGAAAGAGGAATTATGGTGAAGGAAGAATTACGAGTGCCGCTGCCTTCGCAGGGAAAACAAGGCTGAGTGTTGTCTCTTTTAGCCTGATCATTAATCAAACAAACAATTAATGAATAACAATTCTCAAATCAAATCAAATCAAATTTGTGCCCTAATTTCACGAAATCAATTAATCAATCAATCAATGTCGTGATATTATAGAATGGAGACCTACAGCATTGTCGATTTGTGTTTCGTAGAAAACAGGAATCCCAATCCCAACTGCAACGCTCACAACTCCAACTGTAATTGCAACTATCTGTGCCCCAAATTAAACCACCATACATACACTCACTATAAATATATATATATATATAGAGAGAGAGAGAGAGAGAGAGAGAGAGGAGAAATTGAATTACTGTGCTCTGGTCGAGTTCAACAGCCCTAAGTAGTGGATATGAGCAATCTCGAGAGCGACGATGATTTTGAAATCTGTTTGGCGGTTTCCTTGAAAATGAGGAAGAAGAGAGCTTAATGGGGAGATGGAGGAAGGGAGAGGTGAGGCCAGAAGCTGGGGATGACGAAGATGAAGACGATGGGGGAGGGGCACCCAGGGCCAACATCGCGAATCAATAATTTTTTGAATTTTGTCAACTTCGTTGTGTTGTGTGGATTTCTACTAGCAATAGCAATAGCAATGGCGGAATATGGATTGTGGATGGTGTGGGGTCTGATTCGATCTGAACGAACCATTCATTCCATTCCATTCCATTGCCACGACAACACTCACTACACTTGTTCATCTTCTTCTTCATTTGGATTTGGATTTGGATTTGGGTTTGGGTTTGGGTATGTAATCTCAGGATTTTGGATCTGGGCTCGTACGGACAAATACATTATTCCGTCAAAATCGAAACTTGTTGGGCTTTAGGGTAGAATAGTTTGGGTCTGCTGTTTAAAATTATCCTTTATATGTTGGAAAATACTTCATTCTTTCCCTATAAAGTGTTTATTTTTTTTGTTTTTTTTTTTTAAATTTTTTTTCCACCCGTTACACATCATTTAGACCATGCGCAATGGAGATACCACTTTTGGGTATCTCCACTATTTTTTTTTATCCACGTCACATGCCACGTCAGCGGAGGGAGATACTCTCTTCTATTTTATATTCACAACAAAATACTCATTCTAATTTTTTAATAAATTTTTATTTTCATATTATATATATTATTTTTTGATTATAATTTTAATTTGTAGTATTAATTATTTATTTAATTGCTTTAAAATTTAAATTATATTTTATTAATAATTAATTATTAAATTACCTAATTTGATTTGTTGAATAACAAAATTATATAATATTTGTATTTATATATTTTAAATTTTAAATTGATAAAATATTTTAAAATGTATCATTTTGTATTAGAATATAAAAATATTATAAATTATAAAATTTATATAAAATTGAAATATAACAATAAATTCAATATAAATTACAAATACAAAACCAATATTATATATATTATATATATACATATATATACATATAAGTGTCATGTCACATGGCAATAAAATCACATCTTCCCCACCATTGCGGGTGCCCTTATTTTATTTTATTTTATTTTTTCTTTCACCCGTCACACATCACTTATTTTATTCTTTTTTTTTAATAGTTATATCCTTTAATTTTATTTTAAATTTTAAATTTATATTTTTTAAATTTTAATTAGTTATTTAATTATTTTTATTTAAAATTTTAATTATTTGTATTATATAATTTAATAAAATATATTTTAATTACTTACTAATTATATTTTCTTAAAATTTTTGTATTTACGGTAACTTAACACTTTGAGTAGAACGAGAAAATAATTAATTTATTTACATGTTATGTGTGGTTTGTATTTTGAATTTGATATTTTTTATTTATTTTTTATATATTAGATGTGAAAAATAAGCTGATAATATAAAAATAATAGATTTTCTATTAATTTTTTATAGTGAATAATATACACAACATAAATATTGTGTGAATATATGTACATATTGTATTCTTTTATAATATTAATTTGAAAATATGTCAAAAATAAATTAATTGGAAGAATCCATCCTAAATTTATTTTATATTTTAAAAATAAAATATATTGATGCATTCCATTTTAAAAGTTGAATCCAAAATAATCCCAAAATTGAAACCACTTTTTGGATTGCTTATAATTTTCTTGTAAGATCTCCCATATTTGTTCTTAAAGCTTGTAGGTTTTTTTTAATATATATATATATATATAGATATATTTGAAATGAAATAGGGATTAAATGTAATAGTTTAAATAAAATTTTAATTGAGTAGAAAAAAAGTTTTAAAATAAACAAACAAACAAACATTCAAATTACTAATGTTAAATAAAAAATATTCGCTCCATCCTTCACCAAAATATATTTCCATTTTTTTATTTTATAAATTTTTTGCTATTATATAAATATAGATTTATCATTATTATTATTTTTTTCTAATAATAGTTTTTCATTATCAATAGAAGTCCCTAAACATATATGTATATATCAATTAGAATTCAATTTCATTATTATGTGTGTTTGGTTGTAGTTTCAAACTGAAGTTTTAATTTGAATTTAGTCTAAATAGCATTTTAATGTGATATTTTGTAAAAATTAATACTCCCTCCGTCCCAAAATTATATTATGAGTTGTGTTCGACACGAAATTTAAGGAATATTGATATTATATTCGTAGTATATCAAAAGTACAGGTAAAAACTTTTTTGCCCTTGTGAGTGTATTAGTGTAAAAAATAGTAGCAATTGTATAATAATAATGAAAAAATAATGATAGTTTTATAGTGATATAATTATTTGTATAAATAAAATTATTATTTTGGAACGGATAAAAATGATAAACAGATCTATTGCATTGGGATGGAGGGACTATATCTTTATTAAAAATAGTACAAACGGAATATTAGTAGTTTGTATTTGAAATACATCTAGTACTATTGTGTTGGTTAGGTTTTTTTTTTTTTTTTTTTTTTTTTTTTTTTTTTCACTTGTTTTAAATTTTGAGAATGGGATGGACATTATTAAGTAAGTTGTACTTGAAAAATCTAATAATAAGCATACTTATTACTCTCTCTTTTACTTAAATTTATTCATTTTTTTTTTCCACTTAGAACTATTATATGTTTTTTTTAGTATTTTTTTAAAATTTTATAAAATAAAAATTTATATTTTCACCTTTTTTTTATTATTATTCGTATCTTATCAAATGAACATACAATTAAATAATAATAGAATGGCTAGTAAACATTAGCAAATATAAGGGATGGGCATGAAGGGACAAGCAAACAACCGTAAAAGTTGGAAATCATTACAAAGCATGTGCGTATATAACATAGGACTAAGAGTACTGGTGATGATGAGCTGTGAGTTGTAAATTTGTAAATTCCCTAAGTAAGATTCAGATTACCCATACCATTAATTACCCCATTCTTAATTGATTTACTTTCTCCATCCCATTCAAAAGGCTAGATTTACTTTTTATAAGTAAATTTTTTAATATTAGTATTATATTGGATTATAATAAAAAAAAAAACAAAAATATCCCTATTAGTATGATATAATATAAAAATAATGGTATTTGTGTAATATATTGTAAGTTGAAAAGACATTTATTATATTAGATAGACAGTACAATTACTAAACTAGGAAATGATAACCTTATTTTGAAATGGACGAAAATAGAAAATGATATCATTTCAATGGAATGGAGGAAGTATTTTAATTAGTTACCATTTTTCTTTTAAGTTTTTTCATGCACAGTGTCAAGAAAATTCGAGTATGTTTCTTTAGATGGATTTGAAAAAAAATTGGTTTGAGTTTGATATTAAAATAATGCATGATGAAATATTTTGTGAGATAAAAAAATGAATTTTTTTCGAAAAATACAGATTCCAAATAATAAAAACCTGGAGTTTTAAGCAAAAGTAACATACCTAAGTAAGCCTAATTGGAATACAAGAAGGGTTCAATTTGTCCCTCATTAAATGCCCTTTATAAGATAGGCCATAATAAATTAAAATTTTGTGGTAGACTCTTTTGTAAAAAGTAATTCTTCAACTTAAAAAAAGGAATTTCAACCCACCCCCCCCCCCCCCCCCCCCCCCAACAAATTAATAAAAAGATATGCCTATTGAGTGTTGAGGTTTTACTATTATTATTATTGTTATTATTATATTTTTTTATTTTTATTGAGTGTTGCAACAAGAGATTTTATCCCACACATACATATACACATGCATATTAATTATGTGACCGTTGTTGGGGTGTAATAAAAAGTCAAATGCTTTGATAATGAATGATGCCACTCATGTGGTATGGCCGCACGATACTTTATTGTCTAATTCTACCAAATATATATTTATGTGAGCTATAGACAAGTTTTAATTAATATTTGTTTAATTGTGATTTTTAATTGATTTAAATTTTTATTTAAATATTATTTTAATGCGACAGTTTTATAAGGAAAAAATAATATATTTTTATTAAAAATTATGTAGAATAAATAATACTCCATTCGTCTCAATACAATAGTCTTATTTATCATTTTTGTTTGTTCCAAAACAATAGTCTTATTTTCATAAATAATTATATCACTATAAAACTTTTCTTACTTTTTCATTTTTGCCACTACTTTCTACGCTAATACACTCACAAAGACAAAAAAGTCTTTTATCCATACTTTTTACCAACTACCACCGATATATATCAATATTCTTTAAATCTCGTGCTAAACTCAATTAAAATTAATAAACTATAGTTTTAGGATGGAGAGACTATTGATTTTGGTTTAAAATGTTCAAAAAACAAACTTAGGTAAATTACAAATATTTTAAAAAATATATAAATATGTTCAAGTAAATTAATCATGTAAGAGTGATTTAATGCTTTTTAGAAAAAAAATAATGAATAATTAAAATCCGAACATGTCCTCCAAACAAACACACTTCAATAGTTATGACATATTTATAAATAAATATAATATTTAATAAAATAAATTAAAAATATGTAATAATATTATTATAAATAAAAGAATTGCATATTTTAATTAGTTTAAATTCAAAATTGCATATTATGTATTTTCCTTTATTAATTATAAATATATATATATTTAACAAAATATCGTTTCAACCATTACTTAAATCAAAATTAGTTTAATTTGAAACTAGGGAATGAGACTGTAAACTAATAATTTTAGGAATTTGAAAATTTTTAAAATAGTAAAAAATTAAGTATTTTTATATAATATTTTATAAAAATAAGATAAATATATAATATCATATTTTAAAAAACTTATTATTTAATAAACAGTGCCAAAACTTAAAAAAAAAGAAAAAAAAAAAAGAGAGAGTAGAAGAAGAAGAAAAAAAAGGACTTTGAAGGTAATAATTTGCGGAAAGCAAAAAGGGTAAAACTCACTCGAAATGGATAAGCTGCACTTTGTGTCTTCATTTAATTATTATTATTAACAATTTAATTAAATTAAAAGCGGGGAATCTGCAGTGTTTTTGTTGCCTTTTGGTTTAGCTCCATACTTAACACTTTGTTCCTCTCATCTACTATAAATTTATTTGTTATTAGAAGCTTTATATGACACTTTTCATTCCATTTAAAGAATTCTAAATATATATAATTATTGTCGATAGTGTTATTTGAACTAATTAATGCGAAGCCTGCTTATCATAAATACCAACGGCTACGATTGATTCTATTAGGCCCCCACGCTAAAATGGTGCACCCGACCACACTAGATCCCACCTCGTGCCTGGGGAACTCAAATAAATTCAAAGTGTGGAGGCGATAGATGCAAAGCAACTCATCCAAGCCAACTGCACAATCGGACTCCGCTCCATTACGATCTCTTCCGGCGCCGACACGCTAACGGTTAACCGTCGTTGGCCGGCGATGGTTCAATTTTGTGAAGATCTCAATTAGATTTTGCTCGTCAATCTCGGCGCTGCTCAACCTCAAGCAACGGCTATTTCCTGTCGTTTTGGAGCTGAATCGGTTGGATTACATAGGTATGGTTCAGTTATGTTGCTGATTTCAGGTGCTTCAGTAAGCTCTGTGTGTTGTGAAATTTGTCTTGTATTGAGGAGGAATGGTGTTCATTCTCATTGTGAAAAAGTTTTCCTGCTTGTCCTAGTTGTTGTTGTTGTTTGTTTTGCTGTTCTCTGAACAGTCGTTCGATTCATGTGAATTGGAGAAGCTAAATGTGATGCTTGGAGGAAAGAAGAGGATGATTCTCTAACTATTGATCTGTTTCCAGTTGGATTTGTTGTGTTCTAGACTGAATAGAAGATAAGCACGATTCACAAGTTAGAAATATTCAGTAAATGTTTTTTCAAATTTCCATTTGATAGATTGGCAAGTAGAAGGGGAAGGTTCTGCAATTCCTCGTGCTGCTATTGGATCTTAATTTCTGATAGAAATATTAAAAGAGGAGCGCAGTTGATTGTTCACAGCGCCATTAGTATATGGAAGTGAAAATTGTAAAAAGCAACTTATTTGTATTTTCTTCATCACAGGGATTCAAAATGATTGGATCTATTCTAACCAGAGGACTTCTGTATGTGCTTCAATCTCTTTTCAGTTTATATCAAACCAATCATTTTCCATACTATTTCACAAGTTTCTCCTTCTGATAATGCAGGCTGATATTTGGCTATGCTTATCCTGCGTATGAATGCTACAAGACTGTGGAATTGAATAAACCTGACATCCAGCAGCTTCAATTTTGGTGCCAGTATTGGTATATATCTTCTAAGATACATCTCTGATTTACCTTCCGGGTTTCACTTTCATCTTTAAATCCCAGGATCTTGGTGGCTGGTTTGACAGTTTGTGAAAGGATTGGCGATACATTCATTGGCTGGTAAAACTTACATATTTTGTACCTAAAACACCATAAGATTCTTTGCATCTTTTTCCCAATACAGATTGGTAATCTCCATCTTTTTCTCCCCACATTTTCATGACGGTGAAGGCTTCCGATGTACGGTGAAGCTAAGCTGGCCTTCTTTATATACTTGTGGTTTCCTAAAACTAAGGTTTGTGATGCATATACATATACATACTTAGTGTACGTCATAGTGATGTAATTAATCTCTACGTTGAATTGATCCCAGGGAACAACATATGTTTACAGCTCGTTCTTCAAACCATACATTGCAAAGCATGAGACAGATATTGATAGAAATTTATTAGAATTGAGGACAAGAGCAGGAGATATGGCAGTCTTGTACTGGCAGAGGGCTGCAAGCTATGGACAGACAAGAATTTTTGATATCTTGCAGTACATAGCTTCGCAATCGACTCCTCCAAAACCCGCTCAGGCATGCCTTACCCCTAACTCTTTTGTAATTTTAAGTTCTTTTCAAGCAACTAATTTATTCTAAACTGTGCAGCCACAGCAGCAAGGCCCAAGAGCCCAGAAACCCGGGGAATTGCCATCAACCAACAAATCGATAGGCGAAACAAGAGAAGAACAATCCCCAGCATCTCCATCATCAGCAAGTTCCTCGGCTTCTTCTAACGAGAAGCAGGATACAGCTGAAGAAGTCCGAACCCCGAAAGATTCAAAAGCATTGGTAACAGCTACTACTGCCCCGGCAACTTTGATCGAACAAAAGGCTACACCGACACCATTGTCGGGTCAAATCAGCAAGAGTTTAGTACCCACGGAGAAGCAGGTAATGCAAATCGATTCGGCGCCTAAGGAAAACAATCAACCTCGCCCACAAGAAGTGATCTTGCAGGAAGCCACGAGGGTGACGAGAGCAAGGTTGAGAAAAACGCGCAGCAAATAATCCGGGTAAGACAAACGATTCCTTCTCACTTGTAGTTTAGACAAGTGATTGCTGTGGTGTACATAAAAATCATCTCTTTCTCATGCCAAATTCGATTTTTCTAAATTTTTTTCTTTCTAACAATGAGAAAGAGATGTTATGTTTCGAGCTTTTCTAGAACAAGTGCGCTCAATTCTAGAGTTCCTATAGGCAAATACTCGATTAAGATGGAACATCTAAATCCGAGATATCACAAATGCAACTAATCATTCAGGAGAAGAATGATTTTTTCAAATGTCCAATTTTTTACTATTTTCAAAACTCCAAAACTTTTATCAAAGAGTGTTATATTTAGCAGTTCCTATTGTTATATAAAAAAAAGGAACATTGGATGAGTTTGGTCAGTCGTCTACATCAATGTAGGCATCAAAACTGAACCCCACCCAATGTTCAAAAATGAGGCATTCTATTCAACAACCATCACTCATTAATTCATCACTACCAAACTCCACACTATTTTTGCCTTTTGAATTTATTACAGGCAAAAAAAGCACCCGAAGATGCTCAAGCCAACCACCTAGGATGCTACCCGAATACCACATCTAACCGAAACACTGTCCTTGGTCGATTTCGGACAGTTTGTAAGGAACTACAGATGTTAAAAGATGCATTAATCCTATCGTTGTTCCATGATAATTTGCCATCAGCAAAAGTGCACAGAAGATAACGAAAGACGAAACACAACACATGAAAACGGAAAGACAATTGTAACTAAATCGGCAAATTGCACAATCTATGCTTTAGTAGCTGAAAATTTTACATTCTTGAGGTTTTTGAATGTAAAATGACACCTTTCAACTAAGCTCCAATGTAAGCCCGCTTATTTTCGACGTGTTAAAGAGTCTAATGGAAAGTGGCGACCAATAGTTATCTACTGCATTCGGGTGCTTAGGAAAATTATAAATGAAGCATATATACATTACCGATGTGATTTGGTTTCTGTTCTCCCAAGGCGGTGAGTTCTTATTCGGAGCTCCTTAAATCAGCCGTCTATTAAGAAGTGTTAGTTGCTACATTTCTTCTGTGCTCCATAAATCCGATACGCTCACTTTATTATCTGATCTCAACCAGTAGTCATCATCAATCTGCATGTAGGAAAAAACAATCGGCTATTCAATAAGTACAATTTCCTTGCCGTGTGAGGAGGCGAAACAGATCAGTTAACTGAGGCCAAAAGCGAACTTACGCTGCTGTCAGATGGAACTATTTTCTGGACTTCAGATACCTTTTGACAATTACTTGAAGGTATATACTGATCATCGAGCCTTCTGCTACTGGTCCATGTCAAAGAATTTGATAATTTCATGTGTTTGACAGATACATCGCCACTTCTCGGCTCCTTTTTGCTGAAATTATATTACAATATTTTTAGAATAACTGAATAGGGTTCTTGTCGCAATAACTACTAGAGTAATTAAGTGTCTTGAGTTCTTTTAAGTTGTGTCACGAGTTCATAATTTTTTGCAATTCTGTACCTCATGAGATACACATCAATTGGTGCAGTTGTGCTTCTTACTATGAGTCTGTATTGCTTCTGACAAAAACCGATGTCCTGTGAAATAAATAATACCCAAAAGAAGTCAATACACATGAAGAAAATTTGTTAAAATTGGTTAGGAAAACATGAACCTCATCTGGATCCGGGACTTCAACAGAGCTTGCACGAGGAGCATGAATGGCAATGACCGTTTGATTCTGTAATAGTTTATTTCGGATGAATATGCATATTTAAGCATAGTACATATTAGGTTAATATCAATCAAGAAATTGCGGCAGTAGCAAACCTTGAGGCACGGAAGGCTTAGAATATCTTCCTCAGTAACAAAAAGATTCCTACAGATGCCCAAGTTTCCAGAAGAATAAGAAATGAAATTTCTAATGCAGAAAATATCAAGATGTAACATTCGAACCATACTTTTGACAATTCTGATCAGACGTTAACTGCCTCAAACTCGCTAGTTTGTCCCTGGATAAAGATTTGTAGTTAGGAAAGCACCTCAAGCAATTCAATAGCAATTGATGTGTTCTTAAATAAACCTTATGCAATCATCAAGCCTCGAATCTTCCTGTTGTAGACATTTAACTTCAGCCTGTCATGGCAATATATGAACGTCAGTGGCTAATTTAAAATTTATAGAGGAAGGTCACACCACCCCTTCATTAAGTCATACACATTACATAAAATAAACTTCAATATAACATTAAGCTAAAAAAGCCATTTAGAAGTTGAATTTGTATCCATTTACCAGCAAAAAAAGTCTTGCACAAAAACCAATAACATATAATTAAATAAATAGTACAGTCAACCTTAGCACTAATGAACTGGAATATAGTTACAAGACTAAGCCTCAATCAGAGTGAACATAATGTAAGCTGCTAGCAAAGCAAAATTCATGGCTTCCATTGTAGGACATGACGCGTGGACACAGCAAAATGAACGAGCTGTAAAATGTCCCGAAAAAAAAACATAGAACAGACAGAGACATAAGCCAGGGATAAAAATTTGTACATGTTTTAAATGTGAGATATTATACTTGCAAGCATAGTTGAAAGCACAATATACATGTAATAGAACTTGGGCAAACTTTTTAAAGATCATCGCTTTATTGCAACAAGATAGTTTAGTGTGATGGAAGGGGATGAGTAAAGTATGATTGTTTTGCAACATTAGGAGGTGCCATCAGACGAAGTAGATGGAGTAATATAAATGAACCTTCAAGCGAGAGACTTCATCACTCAGCGAGTTTGGTTGAAAGAACCCCGATCTTCTGTAAAAATTTAGCTCCATGATTAGAAGGAAATATTTTGAGAAAGATACAAGTGCACATAAGTGAAAGCAGCATACTTCCAACGTATGTGGTTCTTAGTAGTTTTTTCTATCAAACCAATCCCTTCAAGAACATTTGTAATATCATAAATTCTTCTCTTCTGAACCTGCATAGCAATCAGCAACTAATAAGGTGTGGGCTCCCATATACGCTTTTGTCCATTGCAGTTTATTTCAACCATGACGCAAAGGTTTACAAGCATCTTAATAATAAAAAGGCAACCTCCAAAATTTCTGCAGTTCTGTTTAGATCAAGAGTACCATCCTTCGCCTCCTGGATAAGCTTGATAAATTTCTTCGTCAACAACCCTGCAATAAGACAATGACATTTGGTATTTTCTAGATTCCAGTTAAGGGTTAGTGTAGTTTATTGGAAACAACTCACCTAAAGAACTGTCGTACCGACAGCAGCCAGTTAGATTGAAATTTTCGGCTGAAGCTGCAAAATAATAACAGATAGCATGATTACACTATATTCATAAAACAATTAAACATGCTCAGATGCCATGACTTCACTCTACCTAACTTTGCTTGTTGGCCATTAGTTTTGGCATGTTTTGCATATTTAACTTTTGTGCCACGTCCACCACCAACATAAGACGGAGGCCCAGGTGAAAAATTGTTCATTTCTTCCACTTTAGGAACTTGCATAACAGCATTTGACTATTTCAAAAAGGTTGGAGCATCAGAATTTATGTTATGGAGATCAAAGGCACACACATCTAATGTAATTAAACCAGGACACTAACATTATTCAGATAACTACACAAACAAGAGGAGAAATTTATCATACTCCAAAATGATTATATATCATATCTTGCAATAACTTTTAAAGGTGTATCATCAAAATTTTAAATCAAGAATGATGCAAAGGCTAAATCTCCGTGGTAGCCAAAACTGATTCTGCAGTTCAACGAAATTTACAATCGAATAACATTTTTATTGTTATCTCATGAAACAATATTATCAAATCGGCACTTACAAGGTCGTGATAATGGAACACATACAATACAAGAGTCAACTAATAAAATTCCGAAACTATGTTCCTTTCACGAATCATAAACTATACACAGTACATAAGAACTACATTCACACTATAATTAACAAAACAGGGAGCAGTAACCACCAAACAGTGGACTTCATTTCAAGCATTACCAACACAAAAACTCTTAAACTCAACTTCAAGCATCAACTAAAAATTCGCCACGAATAGCTCAAATCCAGCAATCACCTGATCACGTTGAGGCGCCGATTGCGTGTTCGGAAAGTGGTTCAAAGAGAGCTGAGTGTCGATTCCATTGCAGTTATTCGCAATAAACCTATCGCAAGCGAGTTTGCAATCGCCGGAGGAGTCAGAAGGCGACGCCATGAATGCAAAAGGATTCTGCCGCACACGGCCGTGGCGCACCTCCGGCGACTGACGCGGCGCCGCCAAATGCATCCTGGAGAGCGGCATATTGAGGCTGAGATTAAGGTCCAAGCTCTCTCGAGAAGCCGACATGGCCGGCGTTCAACTCCACCGGAAAAAAAAAAAAGAAAAAAATCAATCGGAATGAAGGCGAAGAAAAATCGGAAAAGTACTGATGAGGAAAAATGGAAAATGAAAAAACCTAATGAGGAAATAGTTTGAAGAGAGCCAAAAAGGAGGGTTTTTGTTGCAGTAGAAAGCAGCGGGAGTGGAGGCGCTGCGTTCGAATCTAGACGGTCCCCGCCACGACGTCGTTTTGATATGGGCCTAATGTGGGCCTTATAGGCCCATTTTAAACTACTGGGTTGTGTTAAAGGACATTGAGTTTCCATGTGGGCCCAGAATATAGACGGAAAAGTTCGAATTGTTTGGGCCCACCAATAATAGAGTGGCAGGACATTTTATTAAACGAGTGATGGACCACTTCAAAGACTCAGGCTAATTAATAATTGTAATGCCTGTACTACAAGCATTAGCATCACATATTTTTGTGTAACTGATGACGTGGCGTGATGACTATAATATATTGATTTATTTATTTATTTGTGATAACGAGTGTATTTGATTTGAGCTTCAAATTCAAATAATGGCGGGTTTGTTTGTTTTGTGATGTAATTTAAAATTTATTTTATTATTGTTTTATGATATAATTTGAATGTGAAAATTATTTATAAATATAAAAATAATAAATATATTAATATATTAATATTTTTTGAAAAATATGTATAATTTTTTGACAAAAAACACACGAAATCTCAATAAAAATATATTATTGTAATTTACATAACATCAAATAAAAATATGATTTAAATTTAAATTTAAATTCAAATTCAAAATCCAATTATAAATAAAAACCTAACAAATATAGGATTTTGATTTTTTATTAATTTGTTTAAAATTTAGGAAGTTTAATAATATAAGAAGTTGTTAAATGATGAGTAACATATTTATTTATTTATTACTCCCTTCACCTGTCCTACTATTTTTATAAAATAATTATATAATTTAATCTTATTTAAAAATTTTAATTTTTAATTTTATTAATTTTAGATAGACTAATATATTATCGTAATTTTAATCTCAAATTATTTTTATTTGTAAAACATCGTAGCCGGGACGGACGGAGTAGTCTTTTTTTAAGTGTTGATTTGCTGATTAGCTTTAATAATCACTCTAACAATTCTAAATATGACACATAAACAACAATAATAATAAGATTGCATTTGTTTTGTGATTTGATTTGATATTTTATTTTTTAATACCAAATATAAGAAAATTGTATAAATAATATAAAAATAATACTGTTCTCCCAAATTTATTTTGTGATTCCCAAAAAAATATAAATAAACAATACAAAATATTTTATAAAATATTCAATTTCAACTAATATATTTTTACTTTTACAATAATTCCTTGTCAAACACATAAATTATCAATCCAGCTAGTGTCGTACTATATTAATTTTTTTCAAAAATTGTCTTAAAGAAACAAAGCCTAAACAATAGCACTAATAATAAACAAATTATTTCCTTGTTGATTTTTAAAGAATGTTTATTGTGTTATGAACACTGTTGAATTCAAATAATTTGAAGATATAAGCTCCTCTTTTACTTATGTTTTTAAATATATTTCAACATTATTCATTAAAACTTATCTTTCTACAATATGTTACATGAAAAATCTACATATTGTTGAAAACTAACATAGCACCCTATTTATAATAATAATTTTTTATTCATTTTTTTTACTATTTTCAAATCAATTCAAAATTTTAAAACGAACTAGATCACCAATTGACCAAACCTTTCGCAGGTCCACCTATAGATTACTTATTACGAGTTCTTTTTTCTCTAAACGATAACGCTTGTTGGACTTCTCGCGATGATGCGGGTCCGTCGGCGCTGTGCGCAAATCCTCGTTTGCAATATACGGCTGGACGACAGGTCTGTGAACGGCGTACATGGTCGTCGTTCTTGATTTTTGGCCGCGACGTGCATCGCAGGAAATCCCTTTTTTGATGCATACATATTCAAAAAAATACTTGCAGGAGTTTTTTGGGACACCCACTCTGTCTCGATGGACGGCTGTGCGGCATTCGTACGTCGGATCACGAGTTCGCTGCTGTCTGCCTGGGCAGACATCGACAATGATCCTTTCGCAGGTTCACCTATAGATTACATGTTACGAGTTCTCTTTTCTCTAAACGATAACGTTTGTTGGACTTCTCGCGTTGACGCGAGTTCGTCGGCGCCCGTGCGCGAATCCTCGTTCGCAATATACGGCTGGATGACGGGTCCGTGAACAGCGTACAAGGTCGTCGTTCGCGATTTTTGGCCGGGACGTGCATCGCTGGAAATCCATTTTCGCTGCCTACATATTCGCAAAAATCCGCGTAGGAGTTTTTTGGGGCGCCCACTCTGTCTCGATGGACGGCCTGTCCGACATTCGTACGTCGGGTCACAAATTCGTTGTTGTGTGCCGAGGAAGATATCGACAATGACCCTTTCGCAGGTTCAACTATAGAATCCTTGTTACGAGTCCTCTTTTCTCTAAATGATAAGGCTTACTGGACTTCTCGCGTTGACGCGGGTTCGTCGGCGCCCGTGCGCGAATCCTCGTTCGCAATATACGACTGGACAACGGGTCCGTGAACAGCATACAAGGTCGTCGTTCGTGATTTTTGGCCGCGACGTGCATCGCAGGAAATCCATTTTCGTTGCCTACATATTCGCGAAAATCCGCGCAGGTGTTTTTTAGGGCGCTCACTCTGTCTCGATGGACGGCCTGTCCGACATCCGTACGTCGGGTCATGAATTCGCTGTTGTCTGCCGGGGCAGACATCGACAATGACCCTTGTTCAACTATAGAATCCTTGTTATGAGTTATCTTTTCTCTAAACGATAAGGCTTACTGGACTTCTCGTGTTGACGCGGGTTCGTCGGCGCCCGTGCGCGAATCCTCGTTCGCAATATACGGCTGGACGACGGGTCCGTGAACAGCGTACAAGGTCGTCGTTCACAATTAATCCGCGCAGGAGTTTTCTGGGGCGCCCACTATGTCTCGATGGACGGCCTGTCCGGCATCCGTACCTTGGGTCACGAATTCGCTGTTGCGTGCCGGGACAGACATCGACAATGACCTTTTTGCAGGTTCAACTATAAAATCCTTGTTACGAGTCCTCTTTTCTCTAAACGATAAGGCTTACTGGACTTCTCGCGTCGACGCGGGTTCGTCGGCGCCCGTGCGCGCAATGGCGCCGTGCGCGATCCTCGTTCGCAATATACGGCTGGACGACGTGTCCGTGAACGGCGTACAGGGTCGTCGTTCGTGATTTTTCGTTGCGACGGGCATCGCAGGAAATCCATTTTTGCTGCCTACATATTCGCGAAAAAATCCGCGCAGGAGTTTTTGGGGGCGCCCACTCTGTCTCGGTGGACGGCCTGACCGGCATTCGTACGTCGGGTCACGAATTCGCTGTTGTCTGCGGGCGAAGACTTCGACAATGATCCTTCCGCAGGTTCGACTATAGAATCCCTGTTACGAGTCCTCTTATCTATACAAGAATAAGGCTTACTGGACTTCTCGCGTCGACGCGGGTTCGTCGGCGCCCGTGCGCGAATCCTCGTTCGCAATATACGGCTGGACGACGTGTTTGTGAACGGCGTACAGGGTCGTCGTTCGCGATTTTTCGCTGCGACGGGCATCGCAGGAAATCCATTTTTGCTGCCTACATATTCGCGAAAAAATCCGCGCAGGAGTTTTTTGGGGCGCCCACTCTGTCTCGGTGGACGGCCTGACCGGCATTCGTACGTCGGGTCACGAATTCGCTGTTGTCTGCGGGGGCAGACATCGACAATGATCCTTCTGCAGGTTCGACTATAGAATCCCTGTTACGAGTCCTCTTTTCTATAAACGATAAGGCTTTCTGGACTTCTCGCGTTGACGCGGGTTCGTCGGCGCCCGTGCGCGAATCCTCGTTCGCAATATACGGCTGGACGACGTGTCCGTGAACGGCGGAAAAGGTCGTCGTTCGCGAATTTTGGCTGCGACGGGCATCGCAGGAAATCCATTTTTGCTGCCTACATATTCGCGGAAAAAGTCCGCGCAGGAGTTTTTTGGGGCGCCCACTCTGTCTCGATGGACGGCCTGACCGGCATTAGTACGTCGCGTCACGAATTAGCTGTTGTCTGCGGGGGCAGACATCGACAATGATCCTTCCGCAGGTTCGACTATAGAATCCCTGTTACGAGTCCTCTTTTCTATAAACGATAAGGCTTACTGGACTTCTCGCGTTGACGCGGGTTCGTCGGCGCCCGTGCGCGAATCCTCGTTCGCAATATACGGCTGGACGACGTGTCCGTGAACGGCGTACAGGGTCGTCGTTCGCGATTTTTCGCTGCGACGGGCATCGCAGGAAATCCATTTTTGCTGCCTACATATTCGCGAAAAAATCCGCGCAGGAGTTTTTTGGGGCGCCCACTCTGTCTCGGTGGACGGCCTGACCGGCATTCGTACGTCGGGTCACAAATTCGCTATTGTCTGCGGGGGCAGACATCGACAATGATCCTTCCGCAGGTTCGACTATAGAATCCCTGTTACGAGTCCTCTTTTCTATACAAGAATAAGGCTTACTGGACTTCTCGCGTTGACGCGGGTTCGTCGGCGCCCGTGCGCGAATCCTCGTTCGCAATATACGGCTGGACGACGTGTTCGTGAACGGCGTACAGGGTCGTCGTTCGCGATTTTTCGCTGCGACGGGCATCGCAGGAAATCCATTTTTGCTGCCTACATATTCGCGAAAAAATCCGCGCAGGAGTTTTTTGGGGCGCCCACTCTGTCTCGATGGACGGCCTGACCGGCATTCGTACGTCGCGTCACGAATTCGCTGTTGTCTGCGGGGGCAGACATCGACAATGATCCTTCCGCAGGTTCGACTATAGAATCCCTGTTACGAGTCCTCTTTTCTATAAACGATAAGGCTTACTGGACTTCTCGCGTTGACGCGGGTTCGTCGGCGCCCGTGCGCGAATCCTCGTTCGCAATATACGGCTGGACGAAGTGTCCGTGAACGGCGTACAGGGTCGTCGTTCGCGATTTTGCTGCGACGGGCATCGCAGGAAATCCATTTTTGCTGCCTACATATTCGCGAAAAAATCCGCGCAGGAGTTTTTTGGGGCGCCCACTCTGTCTCGGTGGACGG